CGTGGCAACTCGGGAACGGTGTTTCCACGTGGTGGGAGGAGCGGAAGAGAAGCTCTGGAGAGTGCCTAGAACCGTAAGAGGGCTTCACTTTGTTTTGTCGGGTTGAGGGAGGAATCCTCCGGGAAATAACCCAACTGACTGTCATAGAGTCGTTTCCGACTCCTGGTGACCCGAAAGAGCCCGGTAGAACTGGCCCTGCGGGTTCCGAGGCTGTAACTAATTCACCGTGGGAGTGCTGGTTTAGAACCGCGACCTCGCGGTCAGCGGGCCCAGTCGGAGCACCCTTCTCGCCACCCGAACTCACCGCAGCCCTGTCGTCGCAATGGCTCGATGGGCCTCCTCTTTCCCATAAAATGCAGTCAACTCCCTGCTGCTCGTCCCTTGCCGCCTTTGCTTCTGTTTTTGTTTTCATTTCCCTCTAAAATAAGGAGTCAGGGAGTCCTCAAACTTTTTAAACAGGGGGCCAGTTCACTGTCCTTCAGACATGTTGGAGGGGCGAACTATAGATTAAAAAAAAAAACAACTGAACATATTCCTATGCCCACAGCACATGTCTTATTTGGAAGTAAAAAAACAAAACGGGGCAAAAACACCCAGCAGGCCGGATAAATGTGTTCGGCGGGCCGCAGTTTGAGGACTAGATGGTCTCAAAGTCCCTTTTCGTTCTGACACAACGTAGAATTAGAATTAGGTACGTTTGGCATTAGGGGCTAGGCATAAAGTGGGTAGAAGAATCCTTTGGGTTGAAGCACAAAATGATCTTGACCAAGGACGTTGGGTGGTAGAGTAGCTAACCGATTCAGGGTGTGCTGGACATCTGTAGTAGTAGGTTCGTCAAGAGGTTAAGTCAAAAACTGTTCCTACAAAGTCGCAGAACCCTTTAGTAAGCAAAAGTATCCAAATAGGAAAGGACCCTTGATGGCATAGTGGGTTGCACGTTCTGCTGCGAGCCACCCACTGGAGGGAGAAAGATGAGTTTCCTAACGATTGACGGTGTTGACAGCCCTCAGGAGCAGTTTTGCTCCGTCCTATTGCATCTCTCCGTGTTGGGATCGATTCAGTTCTACCAAAATGTGAAGCTACCATTTCTGACATCCAACATGTAGGTCGGTACTCCTTTGAAGGCAGTATTTCTAACTCTCAAATAACCCTTTCCTGAAATTTCTGATTTTTTTTGACATACATATTGTGAAATCACAGTTTTGGCATCATGAGCATTTTAAATCATGTTCCTTTGAGATGTTCTTTGAGTTGGGGGAACGAAAAAGAACTCTAAAGGGTCAAGATCGGGGTAAGATTTCTTTTTTTTTTTTTTAATCATTTTATTGGGGACTTGTACAATTCTTATCACAATCCATACATACATACATTTTGTCAAGCATGTTTATACATTTGTTGCCATCATCCTCAAAACATTTTTTTTTCTATTTGAGCCCTTGGATCAGCTCCGCATTTCCCCCCCTCCCCCTTCTCTCCCTCATGAACTCTTGATAATTTGTAAATTACTTTTTCATGTCTTATACTGACCAATGTCTGAGGGTAAGATTTCTTGATGAAGTTTTCTCTTGCTGCTGTGAAAGAATGAGTGAGAACATTGTGATGGGGTCGGGGATGGGATGGGATTCCTTGCACAATTTTCTGGCTCTTTTTCTCACCAGTGCATTTTCAATTTTCTTTAAATTTTTAAATAAAAAGTCCCTGTGATTGTCCTGAATCCTTTGAAGGAAATCTATCAAGATATGACCCCTTTGGAGTCCTTAAGAACAGTCATCCTAACCTGAATAAACTTCTCTGTTGAGTTTAACTGGCCCAGCAGATCCCCTTGAAAAGCATTGTTTTGATGGGAACTTGTCCCAGGTTATGATTCCTTCCATAAAATCTTCATTAGCTTCATTCCTTCCATAAAATCTTGCTGAAAAAAACTGTTGGAAAGACCCTAACCCATCAAGTGGGAAGCTTGCTGAGACCAAGAGTGCTTAAAATTGAACATGCCCAACCGTGTGGCCCCCAACGGCAGTAGTTACTGAATGGATGGTGATTCTGTGGCTCTCTTCCACCATTGTCCAGACTTCAACCACACTTTCTTTACTTGCCCAAGGTGGTGGTCTTCCCTCTCTGGGCTCATCTTTGAGGCCTCCCTCACCATCCTTAATATTACCTAATACCCTAAACTTTTGTAGGGCAGCATTCCCGTAAATTTGCTGCAAATCTCCAATAATTTTAGATGTTCACTTGAAGTTTGCTAAAAATGTGATATTAGCCCTGATCTCAGAATCATTTTTTGTCTGTTTAATGACATGAAAAGTATCCTTATTTTCTAAGGATCCTAATGAGACTAAGAGGAGCCCTGATGGCATGGTGGGTTACACATTTGGCTGGTGTAACCACAAGGTTAGCAGTTCGAAATCACCAATCACTCTTAGGAAGAAAGATGAAGCTCTCTACTCCTGTAAAGACTTACAGTCTCAAAAGCCTACAGGCAGTTCTGCCGTGCCTTATAGAGTCTGTGACTCAGAATTGACTTGATGGCAGTAAGTCTGTTTGTTGAATGGAAGAGACTAAAATTGTAATAATGATAGAACTTGCCTGCAGTCATCTACTGATAGGAGAGACCTGTTTAAATGCATTTTGTTTGGAATAAACCCATGTACATATGAATTGGAACCCCAGTAGCAATACTTACCTTTGTATAAGCAAGGAGCCAAAGCGTTTAGGGAAGACTGTCCAGTGTGGAGCTTTTAGAAAATATCACTACTTCCTCTGATTCATGATTGAGTGTTCATGTATGAATTTTTCTAACAATACTTGGAAGCTACATTTCTATTCTATCACTTTGGGAAATAATGAGTTGTAAAGGTTAATATAAAGTATTGGTACTCTCATTTGTCATGGAAACCTTCCAAGAATAGGCATCTGTCACCTCTCAGTATTCCAGAATTATGTCTGTGAGGAAGCCCTTTAAGCTAAGCATTAGTGAGTGGATCAGCCCACCAATTGTTTCAGGGGAGAAAGAGGAGGCTGTGCTCCTGTAAAGATTACAGCCTCAGAAACCCTCTATGTCGGCTTGCTGTTCCTCAGAATTGACTGGATGGCTGTAGTTAGGCTTGGCTTTTGACACCTCTGAGACCTGAAAGAGTGGCAAATTTTAGGACAGAACCAGAACCCTGGGCAAACTGCATTCTATTTGAAGAGCAATAGGGAGAACCACTGTTTTGGAATAAGATGATAGGACGTGAATCAAAGTTTCATAATTGGAATCGACTCGATGCCAATGGGTTTTGGTTTTTGATAATAGGCAGTTAAATTAGACCAAAGGAGCTCTGAAAAACCTTTAAACTTAAATCAAGGAAGGATTCTAGAGATGGTAGAATCACACGTTTATTCCACAATTGAGGAAATCACCCAGAAAGTGAAGTGCCCAAGTAGCGTAATTAATTAGTAACAGTGAAACTCTCCACACCACTGTGAATACACGCCCAGACTTTTAAGAATGTTATTCTTAGATAATTAACTGTTAACTTGGGAAATATGATACTGGATTTCCATTGTCTTGTTAATTAAGATATCCTTTTGACTTACCCTCTAAAAGTGTGGCGGTCATAATAAAGAATAATATTAAATATTACTGTAGTTAGTACATGGTCAAAGCAAAAAGCATCACCTTATCCTAAATGAGTAATGCATTTTGGAAAGCAATGGAAATGAGTCACCTGGAAGAATTGGGGGAATAGGGGGTTACTTCTACATTGTTCTATGTGATGCATGTTACTGAAACTTTTTAACTATAGTTTTCACAGAATGGAGGACAATAGGAAGCTTGCTACAGTGGAAGACACTGTGGAATACCACTTGTTCCTCCTAACAAACGACCCTAAGGACCCCGAAGAACACAAAGAGGTTATGCTGAAGTATATCGAGAAAATAATGACCCACTTTGCACCCATGCTGGTCCCCTATATCTGGCAGAATCAGCCTTTCAATCTCAAGTACAAACCTGGAAAAGGTAAAGAAGCTCATTTATGTGTCTTGATATGTGTGACAGCAGTGATTTATAACAGTCCATCATTCATTCATTGTTACAAGGAAGAAAGTTAATCTTACTGAACTCCTTTCTAAGAGTTACTATCTCGGGAACTAGCATATTTTGAGCCTCTTAGAACAGTGATACTGGCCTATATTCATTGAAGCCCTTAAAAAGAATGAGTTCATGTTGTTGAAAGCTCTTTCATTGGTGTGACCTCAGTCGTTACAGCATTGTTAAACTCAAGGCTAGTCTTTTGACCCTAATTGCTTTGCTGTAATATTCCAACCTTTTGTAGGAAATTGGTTTCTGTAACCATAGCTTCTGTTGTCACTAAGAATTCCTCGCTCCTGATGTGTTGAATAGACTGCCTGTCATTACATGGTTGTTTGGTGAGGATCTAAGAGTGGCCCAACCTGATTTATAAGAGAACTATCTAGACTGACAGCCACTATTGACTACTTAGTTTCTTTACTACCTCCATGCTGTCAGTACTTGAGGTCTGACTTCTGACCATATTTAGCATTTTGTTGTTTCATTTCTTATAGCTTTATTAAACTGATCCTTGGACAAGTGACCAAGACTATACTTACCCTGTGATTTCTATTGGAGTCTGCTTTGGGATTAGGATCTAGGGCATGTTGTGTCACTATCAATCTGGCTCTTAAATTTATGTTTATTTGTTAACTTTCTGCTACCCATCACCAAATATCTTTCCATTGTTATGGATAGATTTGTATGCCCCCAAAATATGTGTTGTAAGTTCTAACCTCTGTGCCTGTAGCTAAGGAGCTCTGGTGGCAGTGTTAGGTAGCTGTTGGACTACTAATCAGCCATTCAGAAACACCAGCAACTCATTGGGGTTGGGGAGGTGGAATTGAGGTTCTCTGCTTCTGGAAAGATTCACAGATTCAAAAATCCCATATGAGGTTGCAATGAGTCCGAATTGATGAATGGCAAAGGATTTGTTTTTTGCAGTTTTGTGGGGTTTTTTTGCGGAGGATGGGGGTGGTGGTACTTGCATTTATAATACCATTTAGGAATGAATTGTCTTTCTTTTGTTAATGAGACAAGATTCATGTAGGATGTATTTGGAGTCAATCTCTTGTGAGATATAAAAGAAATTAGACAAATGACAAGCAGAGACGAGGGAAGAGACATGCCAAATCACATGAAGATTGCAAATAGGCAGAAATTTAAAAGGGGCAAGACTGCTCCAGAGTTGACAAAGAGAGAAAGCTTTCTCCTAGAATCAGCGTCCTGAATTCAGACTTCTAACCTCCTAAACTGTGAGGAAATAAATTTCTGTTGGTTAAAGCCACTTATTTGTGGTACATCTGTTATAGAAGCACCAGATAACCAAAGTTAAACTAAAAAACCAAACTCGCTGTCATCGAGTCAGTTCCGACTCATCGTGGCCCTTTGGGTGAGAGACGACCCGTGTGGTTTTCCAAGACTGTCGTCTTTACGAGAGTAGATCTTCTTCCTTGAAGTGGCTGGTTGATTCTGCACTGCGGACCTTGCCTTCAGCAGCCCCCTGGGTAACCCACTACACCACCAGGGCTCCCTATTGTTAATTACTGAACATCTGATTACTGAAGTGCATGTGGTATTTATTGGCGAGAACATAAGCACCGCATATTCAAAACCAATTTACCGTATCTTTCCTCTAGAACAGCGGTTCTCAACCTGTGGATGGTGACCCCTTTGGGGGCCTAACGACCCTTTCACAGGGGTTGCCCGATTCATAACAGTAGCAAAATTATAGTTATGAAGTAGCAACGAAAATAATTTTATGGTTGTGGGGTCACCACAACATGAGGAAGTGTATTAAAGGGTCGCAGCATTAGGAAGGTTGAGAACCACTGCTTTAGAACATCATTTATTATCGTGTGTTTTCTCATCTTATGTAATCCAACCTAGTTAGTGATTTAAAAACATTCCAGTCTTCAATTTTGCCACATTCAGTCAGGCTCTATTGTACTTCTCAAGCATGCCTCTGCTACATCTGCTTGGCTATTATGTGGGCCTCTCGCTCTTCATGTGGGAAACTGCAGTAGGCCATGTCTAGCCTCTTGGCTTCTTTGTTCCAATTCTTCACACTATTGCCAGTTACTTTTGTGAAACAGAAATCTGCTTTCATTGTACTCCATAACATCCTTCAACAGTTCTGCATTGCTTTTCGATGACATTAATTTGTAATATATACCAAGGAGTCCTGGTGGCATAGTGGTTACACATTGGACTGCTATCCGCAAATTTGGCAGTTCAAAACCACCAGTCGCTCATCGGGAGGAAGATGGGGCTTTCTACTCTTGTAAATGAGTTACAGTCTCTGAAACTCAAAGGGACAGTTCTACGCTGTCCTATAGAATCTTGACTCGATGGCAATGAGTTTGGTTGCCATCAAGTTGATGCCAACTCAAAGCAACCTATATAGTTTAATGTATACGGTAGATAAAATAGAGGTTTCTAATTAGAGGTACTCTCGCTGAGGAAATTTGAGAGGATTAGAATGAGGATAAGAGTTAGGTGGGCTATTCTTTCACCTGGTTTTTTGGTTGGTTGGTTGGTTGGTTACTTGATTGTTAGCATGGCGGCTCTTTAGACACTTGGCAATATATTTGTTTGAAATTTTCAGCTTCATCCAAATCTAGTCTTCTGATATTGCCAGAGCTTGCCATTGCTTGTCTTGCCTGTGTATTTTTGCACATGCTGTTCCTTCTTGCTGGGTCTGACCCCTGCCCAGTCCTCTGGATCACCATATCTCACATCTCACCTGCTGGTCTCACACATCATAGCCTTTCGTGCTTACGCTTGTTCATCATCTTATCTTGAATGATTTGGTTGCCTCTTATTTTAGATCTGAAACATAGTAGTTAATCAGTGACTAATCACATGATATTTACAATGACAAATTATCTGTTTATCTCTTGTTTCTAGGAGATGTTCCTGCTCATATGTTTGGCATAACAAAGTTTGGGGATAACATTGAGGATGAATGGTTTATTGTTTATATAATAAAGCAAATTACAAAGGAATTCCCAGAGATAGTAGCAAGGTATTGTGGTTATTTTAATAATTATGATTATCTATTTAGTGAAACTAAATGACTACACTGTTATAATTTTAGTAATTTTCTTCCTATAGTCTGATGGAAATTATACAAAATTGGAGCATAAATTTTAAAAATGACCTCTGTGTTTAGCTCTGTCTTTTCTTGAGGAAGGAAGTGTAATTGGAAAGTTCAACTTCCCCAGATTTTCAAACAAAAGCTTCCTTGTTATGGGCTTTCTCTTTTGTGAACGGACATGCGCGTGTATTTGATAATTAGAACTTAAAGATTACAAAATGTGTAAACTATAACTGCATTAAATTTCTAGTGTCTTAAAAAATTCATGATATATATATTTCACAGATTTTTCAGAATGTCTCTCTGTACTACTCTATACCCATTCATTGTTTTTGAGAAATCATATGTAGAAAAGCTTTTAAAGAATCTGTGAATAACCATATCGAAAACGAAGTAGATAGTGCTGCATTCTAATTCACAGTTTTGAAAATGGAATATCTAATAGTTCTCTGTAATTACCAGGTTATGCCAGCAGAGGAAGTTTTTAGTTCCTATTTTTTGTTTTATATTTCTCAGTTACTCCCCAAATTCTGATCTGTTTCTACCCACCCAACCTCTTTCCTAACACAAGAAAAGGCAAAAGAAAGCCAAAAAAAGCCCCAAGAACTTTTTATTATTGAAAATATACAATACATGAAAGATTATAAAGTGAGTATAATGAATCTAAGGAATCCTTGTGGCATAGTTCTCAAGGTCAGCAGTTCGAACCCAACAGCCGCTCCTCAGGAGAGCGATGAGACTGTCTGCTCCTTAAAAGATTTATATGCTCAGAAACCACAGGGAGTAGTTCTGCTCTGCCCTACAGGGTCACTGCGAGTGGGAACGGACTCGATGCCAGTGGAGATAAAGAATCTACGTATATCCTGCACCCAGCTTCAACAATGACCAAATCCTGGGCAGTCTTATATCCCACCCCCACCCCCACCCATCATAAGATTTTAAAGAAAATCTCTGCTACCATGTCAGATCACCCTTAAATACTTAAGGATGCAAATCTAAGATAGCAGAACTTTTAAAACTGAAACACAATTACTATAGCTGTCTTATTTATTTACTGCTGTTGCAATAGAAAAACTGAGTGGCTCTCAAGAACATTTGGGAGACTAAATGTCTGGCATTAGGGCCCTGACTATGGCGTGCTATGACATAGGTACTCTTTCTGTGGTCTGGGAGAAGATTGTCTCAGCTTCTAGAGCCCTGGCATTCCTCCGGTTCTTGGCCTTCCTCGCCCATGCTACTGTCTTCCCGTTTGTGTTCACTTGATTCTGTGTCTATACTACTCTTTATAACTTAAAACATTAAATTTAGAACATATGCTATACTGATTATATATATATATATATATCCATCCTCATTAGCATAACAAATAAAGCCCTGTTCCCCCAAGGGGGGATTCAAATACATAATCAATCTATTACAACAGCTAAAAAAATTATTAGCAATAACTTCTTTACCAATAATTTTTCTATAGGTGATAGATTTGTAAATGAGCAGACATAAAAATATTAGTTTCTACCGTTAGGGAAATAATAAGGAAGAGGCAATGCTGTTTGTGTGCTGCCTCTGATATTTATGTAACAATGGGCTTTATATAAAGATATTTACTGCCGTGTCAGGTGTTAAAAACAAACTATTAGAAGATGAAAAGGGTACCTTCTCTACATCTCTACCAGATTAATCTTAGTAAGTACAGTTTTATTAATATATTCCTCTGCTCCAAAACTTTCCATTCTGTTCTTTTGCCTATAAAACTAAGCTTATTTTCATTGCACCAACAACATTTAAAATTCAGTGGTCGGCACAATATGGCTCTCAAGCCATAAGCAGCTCTTTCGGTACGTACATTGGCTCTGAAGGAAAATTGAAAATTTTCAAAGTATATTATTCAGATAATGGTGATTTCATTTGTAAAAAATGTGTTTGTGCAAGTTGTGGTGCAGGAGAGGATTGGCTTTTCTCTCACAAAAGTTTTCCAAACCCTAGGCAAGATCATACGAAAACAATTCCAGAAGGGTTCACAAGAAATAGCAGTGGAGCGGTGGCAGGAATTTAGCAGATGGGAACAAAAGTAGGCAGGAGATTTTTAATTTCCATTATGTAACTATGTATCTATTCATCCTGAACTGTGCGGATCTATTCAGACGCTTCAGTTCTTTTTCTAAGATGAAAATGAGACAAACAGAAGTATCTCAGGCATAAATAGACTTCCTCAGGAAAGGCCTGCCTACTCTTGGCTGTGTGTGATTTTTTACAACCTATTATAATTCTTAAGTCTATCCTATTTTTGTTTATGACTACTATTTACAAGTGCTTGTGAGCTTTTCTTAGTGTGTTTTTGTACTTACTTTCTATCCGTAACTTTTAATCTCCCTCCATGTGTCTTCATAATCATAGTCTCCTTCAAGCCAAATGGTATCTTAATATTGTGATTTCTTAGAGAAATTTGCACATAATAAATACTCAAGTATTTACAGAGATGAAGAAAAAAGTATTAGAATAAAATTGATTTGATTACTAGCAAATGTGCTTTTTGAATGCAAAATTGGAACTTTGTTTCCGTTAGGATTGAAGACAATGATGGTGAATTCTTGTTAATAGAAGCAGCTGACTTTCTTCCTAAATGGTTGGATCCCGACAACAGTACCAATAGGGTAGGTATACCAAGATTAAATGTTAAGAGATGAAATCATGTTGCAGTACTTTTCATATATACCTAGAGCTTGCCAGTGCCACATGTAGAAATGAAGATGCATAATTTTGTAGGTGTTTTTCCACGGTGGAGAGCTGTGCATTATTCCTGCACCAAGGAAACCTGGAGCAGTATCCTGGCTGCCCACCTCAACCCCAACAATCCCACAAGCCTTAAATATAATCCAAACACATCCAGAAAAAATTGTGGCTTCCGAATCTATACGAACAGCTGTGAATAGACGCATCAGAGGGTAAGAAACAGAGAACTTCTTTGTCTAATTGTGGAGCCTTTTGATTTAATGCAACTCAATCTTTCCGTATATGTATAATTTCTTTCACCTAGATTAATTCTAGTTTTCGTTTTCTCTTTAGCCCTCTTCGTCAAATTGATTGCTTGGGTTTTAAACAAAGAAAACAAAGTGCATCTTTTAATTCCCATTGAAAATGTTGTAATCTATCCCAATCCTTTTATATTTGTGTTACCTTAGGTATTGTTACTAAGTATTAATGAACCCTGGTGGCGTAGTGGTTAAGTTTTGGGTGGTTATCACAGAGTCAGCAGTTGGAAACCACCAGCCGCTCAGTGGGAGAAAATCTGGCTTTCTGGTCCAGAAAAGAGTTGCAGTCTCTGAAGCCTACAAGGGCAGTTCTTCCATGGAACAGGGTCGCTGTGAGTTAGGATCAGTTCTGATGGCAGTGAGTGTGAGAGTTTGATGGCATAGTGAATTGCGATTTGGTCTGGTATCCACAAGGTCAGCAATTCAAACTCACAGGATAAACGGAAGCATTCTGCTCTTGTGAAGATTTACATGAGCCTTAGAAGCCCAAAGAGGCAGTTCTTCTGAGTCCAGATTGGCTCAACGGCAGGGCAGTGTTTGTGGTTATTTTTTTATAATGGACATACGGCAGACACCTTGCAATGAAAACTAAGAGAGCGCAGTGTGCGCAGTTCTGTGTTCTGGGATGAACTGTGGAGCTCTGTGCCTATGTGGAACACCTACACTATTCACAAGAGCAGATCTCAGCATGATCTTAGTTCAGCCATTCAGTGTCTGAACGCCATGGCCTAGCACATTCGTGTCTTTTCAATCTTTTCACCTGGTTTCAATGTACATTTTACCAATTTTCAGATGCATAAACTGACTTTACGCTTGTTACAAAGCATACTAGGGCTTTTGTTTTGTTTCTGTCATTGGGTGCCATTGTGTCAGTTCCAACACACAGCGACCCTCTGCACAACAGAACGTAGCACTGCCCGGTCCTGCACTGTCCTCCCAGTTGTTCTTATGTCGAGCCCCTTGATGTAGCCACTGTGTCAGTTACCTGATCAAGGGTCTTCTTCTGTTCACTGCCCTTCTACTTTACCGAGCATGATGTCTTTCTCCAGGGACTGGTCTAGTGGACGAGGAAAAGTCTCATCGTATTTGCTTCTAAGGAACATTCTGGCTGTAATATATCTAAAACCGATTTGTGTGGTCTTTTGGCAATTCACGATACTTCCAATATATTCACCAGCATCGTAGTTCAAATGCCATCAGTTCTTTAGTCTTCCATATTTGGTGTCCAACTTTCACATGCATATGAGGCAACTGAAAATGCCGTGGATCAGGTGCGCCGTATTCCTCAAAATAGCACCCATGCTTTTCAATACTCCAAAGGTCCTGTGCAGCACATATACACAATGTCATTGGATCTCTTGACTGCTGCTTCCATGAGGATTGATTGTGGATCCAAGCAAGAAGAAATCCTTGACAACTTCAAGCTTTTCTGTTTTACCAGGATGTTGCCAATTGATGCACTTGTGCGGATTTTGGTTTTCTTTACATTGAGTTGTAATCCATACTGAAGGCTGCCATCCTTGATATCTTCATCAGCAAGTGCTTTGTGTTAGGTAGGGTTCTCTAAAGAAACAAGATCAGGACACTTCTATACAAGGGGGTATCCTCACCCCCCAAGCCCCAAAATTTTATTTTCAAAGCTATATATTTAATTGTTTTTACAAAACAACCTATCACCTTTCCATTACACTTAATACATTTGTCAAATCTGCGATTCCTTTCCTGGGAACATTTTCAAACTCATCTATTTGGATGACCGACAGCTCCTCCCTCGTTTTTCTTCACCTCTTTGATGTCATGAAATCACTGTCCTTTCATGTACCTCTTCATTCTCGGAAACAAAAAGAAGTCGCAAAGAGTGAGGTCAGGAGAGTAAGGTGCATGGGGAAAAAGAGGCATACTGTTTTTTGACAAAACCTAGCACACTGAGATGGCTGTATGAGCAGGTGCATCGTCATGGTGGCAAAGAGTACTCCATCAGCCACAAATCAGGCCAATTTTGTTGTACACTGTTATACAGTCTTTTCAGAACCTCTGTATAGAAAGTTTGATTAACAGTATGACCTGGTGGAACATAGTCTGTTCAGGAAATTGACAGATGTCGAGAATAAGGTTTTTCATCAATCAACATTTCACCTTTTTTGAAATGAGAATAAACTCATATATTTGAGTTTTTCTTTTAGTGTTGTCCTTGTAAGCTGTGTTCAACATCACAACATTTTCTGCAACAAGTTTCCCAAGCAGGAAACAAAATTCCACAGCTGCACACTATTAAATCCGCCATCACAAAAAACGAGATTTGAGCGAAACTGCTTTTATGAAAAAAAAAGTCACTGTGACCAGAGAACCTTCCCACTGGTTCACTAACACGGAGCAACTTGCATGATGCTCACCTAGCACAAGTCCTGGATTTTGGGGGGGTACCCTCTCATATATATAAAGATAGGTTTATGTAGCAAGAAGGAATACAGCAGCTAATGAGTCCACACAGCAGTACATAGGGCTCAGTCCAACTCACTTTCATGGGTCAGTTAATATACTGAAGGTCCTTCCAACTCATCGGCTGCTGTTCCAGGGTTAAGGAAGCAGGCAGTGAAGTGGCTTGTGGGAGGTGCAGAGTCTGCCCGCAGGCAGCAGACACAGCAAGGTGGGGCAGCAACAGGAAGAAGAGATGTCAAGGCACAGCAGAGGCCAGTAGTACAGCAGCTTAGTGAAGCAGGAGCCTTAAGGCTTAGCAATGCATGGCATGGCAACACAATGCAGGGGCTGGCTCGACCCACAGGTAGGGCAGAGCAGCTAAGTCAGGCAGCAGCTTGCTGGTCCGATCACCAGGGAGAAAAGGAAGAGGCTGACCTCAGCCATTTATTTCAGTCGCCCTCCAATCAAGCTGTCACCTGATTGACAGGCTAAATTCCTCCACATGTTCCTACAGGAGCTATGTTGGCACACAAAACCCATCACTGATCCAAGTTCTTCTCACTTTTAGCAAGTAAGATTGTATCATCTGTGTATTGCAGGTTGTTAATAAACCTTCCTCCAATACTGTTGCCACATTCTTCAGATAACCACGTTCTTTGATGATTTGCACCGCATACAGATTGACTAAGTATGGTGAAGGGATGCAACCCTAACACACATTTCTCCTGATTTTATTTACTTATTTATTCATGATTGGGAGAGTTTATTAGAAAAGTCAAGACCAACAAACAGTAAGGATACAGTCATTGGTCCACAGCAACAGCTCTCCTTAGCTAGCAGCCAAGACTTTTTTTTTTTAATCACTTTATTAGGGGCTCATACAACTCTTATCACAATCCATACACACATCAATTGTGTAAAGCGCATTTGTACATC